TGTGTGTGTGTGTGTGTGTGTGTGTGTGTGTGTGTGTGTGTGTGTGTGTGTGTGTGTGTGTGTGTGTGTTTTAGGTTGATCATAGTGACATGAGAGTGAGCCTGACTCTAAAACCCAACAGTGTTCCAGACTTTGGTTTCCAAACTCTCTGGGACTCCACAGGGCTGAGAGTAAAATTCATTCAACCTGGTAAGATTATTATTATTATTATTTTAACTGATTCACTTGAACAAAACATTGCTGTTGGTGTGAAATGATATTTGGGTTTTTATTTTTTTATTATTTTTAGAAATGGAGATAAAATCCTGACAGAGATGGCAGCTCTACTTTGAGCTTCCATAAAAACAAGATTTGTTCTCCTTTTAATTTTGCTCCTGCAGTTTCTCTTTAGGAGAACCCAGCAGGAACATGTGACGAGTGAAGTCACACGAGCTTGAGATGAAATTATTGTTTCTGATGGTGGTAGATGCATTTTTTTCATAAATGACTAATAAAAAAACTAATTCACTAAAGTTTGGGGTATAATGTTCAAATGACAGAGCATTTTTCAGAAACTACATGATGTTTCCAGTGACTTAAACCTCACCCATAAATAATTGAGATGCTTCAGAGGTGTCACTTACTTGCTGCTTTGTAGTTTGCCTTACTGGCCTACTTCTCCGTTTAGAGCAGTGAATTCACATTTTTTTTCCTTTCATGCTACACATACATCTTGTTCCTCCGTCCTCTCACGTCTCCTGATGTCTGTCCTCCCCACAGCCAGTCCAGCGGAGCACTGCCAGCTGCGTGTGGACGATGAGATTGTGGCAGTGGACGGCGTCTCCGTGGCACACCTGACCTCCGGCCAGTGGAAGAATAAAATGGCCTCTTCCCTGCAGACGGGCAGCCTGACCATGGACGTTCGACGATATGGTATCAAGGGTAAATGTGCGCCTCCTGAGATGATTTAAATTTGTTTACCCAACTATCCCACCGGCGCYGACCACTCTAATTTTACTGTGTGTAAATTAGACTGGAGCAACAGTAAAGAGAGTCATCCCACCCGGCCTGGACAGAACAGGATGACCCTCAATCTGACGTCCACAGCCCCGGTTCTGATGGGCTACCCCGACCACCATAACAGCGTGGCTTCAACAGACACACAAACATCTAAATCTGACTGGCAGAAAGAAAATGTGAGCGAACAGTCATCAATTAATTTAAATAAAAAAGCCAATCATTTTAGAATGTTTAGTTTTCCTGTCTGCAGATAACACAAGAAGCCATGGATGGGGTTGTTTCTGAGAGCTCTGCTTTAACCAGGAGTAAAGGTAAAATAACTCAAATCTGTAATTTAAGCATTTGGGAAAACTCCTTCCTTTAAATATGTGTTCATGTTTTTTTTTTGTTTATGTAGAATACTGTAGTGTCACTAGGCAGAATCAGAAAAGGAGAGAAGATTTTTTCAGTGAGAAAGGTAAAATACCAGAACTACCAGTGGCTCCTTAATTTGCTTGTTTTGGCGGGAGCTTGGCTTGGTTAGAGAGATTTCACTGAGCTGCAACTGTTGAGACGAGTTGGTGGAGAGAAATCTCTTTAAAACTGCGTCAAAATATGCAGCTGTGTTTCCTTGTACTTGTGTATAGCTTCGTTTGCTGGAGTACACTTTAGAAATGAATATACCGTATTTATTCAAGTATAACACGTAAAATTAAATCCATAAAATCATCGATAAAGTTGGGGGGTAGTACTATACTCAGATAATAATTTTTACTTATGTATTTTAACTGAAAAAACAGCTTCATTCACAAAACTGAGTTCGGAAATGAGACCACGTCATAAAAAGCAGTTGAAACGAGCTTACCTCTGACACTCCTCCATTCTTCAGAGCGAGATAATAACAGATCCAGGCAGGAGACATGATGTGGACAAAATGGGGGAAAGTATTCCTGCAGCTCAGTAATGATAACGAACTAATGACATTAGCGTGTGACCGAGCCGTTCCTCGAACAACAAACACACGTTCGTCTGTAATGGCTGCCGTCTACCGGTGTTCTGAAAAAGTTTGTATCCCTGAAAAAACATTTCCCCACCAGAGGGGGCGCTCGCGAGCAGGAAGTAATCTGCTTTTGCCCCACAAGATGGTCCAAATCTCATGTGAAGTCTCTGACTTTTGTGGTGGCGCCTCCTGGTGGACTACGTGAAATGCCAGAATTCATATGATGCAGCTACAGCTGATATATTTTTGTCAAAATACCTTTTAGTACATATGTTGTTAAAATAAAATGAACAGTGCAATGATCATTTTACTGATATGTATAAAGACTGCAAAGGCTGAAAAATCTTGGTCTGTATGAAATTGGAGGTAGTTTGAGGATTAAATTTTTCATGCTTTTTAAGCTCCAAAAAGGGGGGGTCATATTATACATGAGATCGTATTATACATGAATAAATACGGTAATTAAGTTTGATGGTGGTGGTGTTCTTCCATTAGTTATTTATCAGCATGCTTTTTATCAGACTTGGACATTTTCAGATTTCTCTGTCTAAGGAGAGCTCTGGAGCCAGACTCAAAATCCAGCTTCTGTACTTTTGAGATGAGTTGGAGAAGCTCACAACTGAATTTAAATACTGTTGAGATCATTTAGAGGTAAAGTTATGTTTAACGTGTCTTAAGTTTGAGAAACTCTGAAAGCTGCAGGACATTCTGGAGACTCCCCTCCTCACCGACTCTTGCAGCCCAGTGAGAGCTCATGTTTAGCTGCTTCTTCGAACAGTGACGGCTGCTGTGGTCACTCAGGCCTGCAGGTTTGCTGCTTTAAAGCGTTTAAAAACAACGTGGAGGCCGTAGAGCCAACACGCTGATATTTCATGCAAATGAAAGCAAAAAGCAGCTCTCGCCTCTGTGCAGCACTTTGAACAATCTTCCTGAACAATTACTGAGCTGACAGCTCTGAATACAATTAATAGGACCCCGCTGATCTAAAAGCTCGTGTGTAGTTGCCTCCTTTACCGTCACATCCTATGTTCTCTGTGGTGTGTAAACGTTCGTGGCAGACGTGATTTATTTATGATGGATTTCTGTGGCTGTTTATGGCTCTAACGTCTGTCCTACCACGGCTTCTCTCTGCAGGCGCTGCAGGAATCAGCTCATGGGTTTATTTGTGTGGTAAATGTTTGCTGTGTTTTTTTTTATTTGTTTGTTTGCTTGGAGCAGCTTGCTGGATATTAAAGTCTGCAAAGCTCTCGGTTTGTTGAGCATCAGCAAGTGAACAAAGGAGATTGGTGTTTGTCGAAATGACGCATGGATACTTTTTCTTTTTATGTGCTATTTTGTTGAACAGTTTCCTTCTCAGCGTTTTCACTGTGGCACCTCTAACCTGAAGGACACATTAACAGTTGTAGCTTTTCTCTGTGAAGGCTAATGCTGCAGTCCAGTTGTATTGACATTTGAAGTGAATATCTACTAACCCTGCAGTGCATCATTAATTAAGACTGTAATTAATCAAGTCTTTTGTGAACCCTTCTAAAATGAACAGTATTTATTATTATTTATTATTTATTTATTTTATTTCCTTTATTTAACCAGGAAAGTCCCATTGAGATTAAAAACCTCTTTTTCAAGGGAGTCC